TTTGCAATTGTACGAAAATAGTGTTTGTTCGCGTAAAAATTAATTGTTCAAAATATTGATTGGTTCGCGTAAAAATGGTCGTAAGACGAACGAGGACGATCACGTACTTCGAAAAACATCGAACTCGATATACCTTTTCGTGCTTTTGCGGAGCAGTCTATTTTTGTTGAAACTATTCTAATCGTATGGGAATCGTATTTTTTTATAAAAAATTATTGCAATCCGGCTTTGAGGTCGGCCCTAGTTGATGCGAGACTATATTCGCAAGTTGGTAGTCAGTTGCCTTATTTAGTCTAGCTGAAACATCCTGTGACGCGTCCATAGGATAGATTTCGAATGCAGATATCAAGAGGATCTTTCCATCGTGAGCTGCTCTGGACTGCTTTGCCCGCTAACGATAGCTTAGCATTATTGGAGCATTATTGGGATTAGCATTATCGTTACTATGGGGAGTCTTTGACCAGAACTACTATATCAGCTAAAATCAACTGAACGAATTAGCTATTTTTAGCGGGAAGCTCCTTTTGGTAGATCGAGTACTTAGTTACGACGTAATCTAATAGGCGCCATGAGCTCCGTTTTCGCCACTAACGAGATGTTGAATAAAGGTCAAATAAATTAATAACACGCCATACTGAAAGGCTTCATCGCTTAAGCAATATGCTACGTTGATGATTTTGTTTTGAATCTAAGGTAACATGGTCACAAAATCATTACGCTTATTCATCATTTTTAAAATTCAACAAGTTATTGGCGACCAATTTTATTTTGTTTATTATTTTGCTAACCAATGCTTAATTTGTATGTATAATTCCATTTCTATGGAGGTCAACTTGAACCTTTGGAACGTTTGCGTTGCAGAACGCGTTAACACAAATGCACCGCTGCCGCTTATTTTCTTCTTCTTCTTTTATTTTACAAAATAAGTGCGTTCTAGTGTCTTCAATGAAACCGTTTTAGCTGCCAGATCGCAGTCTTTTTTGTACATCGAAGACTTTCATAACGCTTTGACGTACAGCTCCGCGGCGATTTTGTCCTACAGCGGCCCTGATATTCATAGCCGGATTCTCCCGCCCACTACAGGCTAAATTTAATATAGATACTGGCCTTTGCGCCGCTTAGGAGAACGGACGTGTCCTACAACCCCAGCATTTATTGGGCGCCTCGGTCGTATCGCTCGTAAGGCACTCACCGTCGCATACCTTTGCCATGTCGACGGCTTGTCATGTCATCTACATGTCGTTCTTGCGGCCACTCCCCCTCATCACCGTTGTAATGATCAGGAGGAACAAGTTAACATTGAACAAACTTGACCGCTTAGTCTGTGCGATCTAAAGCATGGTCTGCCGACATATCGAATCGAATAAGCTTCTATATCAGGGTGTGCGCATCTGCTGTATTCGTGGCCCCGTCTGACCTAGCCCGGCCAGCTTGGTTAACTCAGTGACTGGCACAAAATGGTGTACCAATGCCGACATGGAATACGAACACGGGGGCAATCGAATCATCGCGGTCGCTAGTAGGCGATAGCAAAAGCGAAACAGTAACAGCGAGTAGCGCTCCACAAAGTGCTGAGACACGGCGAAAAACAGTGAGTGACTGGTCGAATCTTTCGCTTCAGGAATCAGCCATTGGTCGTCGTTTGGGAAACATAGCCGAACAGACGAAGACAGCTAACCCCTGATCCCTTAGTTAGACAGGTGACCTCACGAACTTCGTGACCGAGACATCCGCGTGCCCGGACGAAAGAGAAAGTCAGTCAGAGACCTTCGAATGACGACAACAAGAAAAAGACATAGGGATCGGCTAGTGCGTCGCGCGCGAATATCGCACCACTCCCAGGTCTGTAGGTTCGCGCTGCAGCCATCCATGCCGCGACTGATGTTACAGCTCTAACATTATAATGGAAACCTGCTTCGTATACCATTGCCGTGAGCGTCGTGCTTGCCACCGAGACGTCAAACCTACTGCTCCCGATTTAGCCGAGTTCTCTCTCTTATATGGGACAGACAGCTCATGAACATACAGACCAGACTGAGGCGGATGATGCACCATCATAGTGCTATCGTCATTTGCCAAAAACCACTGAAATTTGTTGAAAAATGCATGTGTATCTGACTTGTACCAGGCTGAGTTATAGGCTGAGTTATTGACGCTGAGTCTCCGGCGCTGTTTCTGCAGTGCTGGAAAATAGATTCGCGATGTATACGCGGAACTATGCGTGTGTACATGCATACACATAGGAATAATTGCAATGTGTTTATTCATAGGGCAAAAGCACGAGAGATGTCTGTTGCCAGACTGTCAGCTGTCGCGTTGTACGACTGTCTATGGCAATGGCGTCTTGAAGGTAATGGCTCGTTCTCAAAACTATGAACGATTAATCGAGGTGTTTCGATGGTGCGCTCAAGTCGCTGTTCGCCAACCGAGGCCAGGCATTGCGGCAGGCGTGACGGTTCCTTAGGGCGACAGAAGTTCGATCAAAGTACCGCGAAGTACAGCAAAGTGGTCGCTTAGCGCTGGATGGGCGAAACCGTTGACGCTAGGAGTGTTCATGAAACACTAGCGAAGAAATGACCTTTGATAGACTATATGTTGGCCGAACAAGGCGGCACATCCCGTTGACCTGTATATGCTACAGGGTAGGGGGCCGATAGCGTCAAATGGGCGAGTCAACGGGGAGCGGTCCGAGACGGTCGCAAAAATCGGGAGATATTGACTTGATTTGGTCATCAGAAATTGTGCACGTCTTCGGCCTGTATAGCTATTTGTGGGGGCAGTCCGCTTTTCGGTTTTTGATAGGATAAGACCTCGCGGTATATATGACTGCACTACATGATCTGGGAGTGTCAGGTTAAAGATCTAACAGATCAGGACGGTATGTGAAAGACAAGGGTGTATGCCCTTGAGTTTCAGGAGAACATTCTATAGAACACGGAACGATCTAACTTCTTACATGGTTGGCAATCTTGCATAGGGCTCGTTAGAAGTGACCCAGTCGAACCTTCAGGTACAGGCGATCAGACAGACATCGTTGTATACAGGCTTATACAAATGACAGTAATAAACTTAATCGGGTTAGAAGTGGTATACCTCTTGGTAGAGAGGAAGTATTGTCGAAATCATGTGAGTTTGTGCTTATGAGTAACGATGTGTTAGAAGAGACTAGAACATGATGTGGACTGCGTAGATTATTTTCGTCATCATTTTCCCTAGAAAAAATATAGCTATAATTTGTTTACGTATGTCTAAGTTACTCGTCTAAGTTACTAAGTTCCAAGAATTAACAAGACAGATGCCTAGTGAAGTACATCTAAGCATTCATACATGAATGTACTTCACTAAACATCCCCGTCGTTCAACCCCGATATAGTAATATTTGCTCGGCTCACTAAACGTAAGTAGTTGTAAAAACTATTAAAAAAAAGACACTATATTAAAATATAAACCCTAAACTAAAATATAAAAAGTATAACAATATTTCGAGTTTTTACGTTCACGTACTTTTCAGATAATTTATGAGATATCTACAGATTTTTTTCGATGTATTCTGGGTTCTTAGATAGCCGCTAATAGGGTTAAAGAAGATAATCGATCGACGAAGCGACTTGGTCTGTCAATCCGAATCTGTTTCACAGTATTCGTAATCCTTTGTCATTTTCCTCCGTTAGTGTGTCTAACTGTTCTTTTTGTCTGTTTTTGATACTGGCTTTGATATATATATTTTTTTTTCTTTTTTTTCCTAATGTGTTTACTTAGGAATCTTGGATATATGCTTCATGCAATGTTTTTCTATTGTTTTAAAGTGCTAGTTCTCCTAGGTACAGCGTAGTATAGTAGTTTTAATGAGAACCAACAAGTCGCATGTATTTTTGACGAAACACGGTAAGCTTATAATTGGGTGATGAAAACAAAAGTAATTTCGAAACTTTTGTTTAACACTACGAACCCACAGTTCGACCTTGTAACTAAAATCTTTTATTTTTTTTTTACTGTTTGTCCATATACGCTGTTGTCTTATTCAACTGTGAACCCGTCCTAGTCTGTTCGTTTGTAGGTTATTCCATTTGTAGGTCGCTGGTAAATTACCTTCATAAAGGACGTTACACCTAGCAAGGCGAGGTTGATTATTACCGTCGTTCTCTAAGATAGCTGCTGTTGCTTTCTGATGAAGCTTTTACATTTAATTGGCACGAATTGGCCGCGTAACGATAATTCCGAAGAGAACTTTTTTACTGTCCTTAGACGCCGTTTCTTCGTCACGCTAAATGGGCCGTTTAGCAAAAAGGGACCACGTTCTATGTTGGGATTAGAATTAAGCGAGGCGAAGGGTCAATGACGAAAAGTGATTTGCTCAAGTGCCTCGATTCAGCCCAATTGAGTAACTAGCTGACTGGCTGGCCTTCACTAGCCGTTCAAGCGAGGACAAAAAGCAATAAAGTGTCTCGTCGGTGACTGTCCTTAGTTTCGTTTCAAAGGCAATTACTCTGGGGTCGAGAGTTTGGGTCAACACTGTCCTACGACGAGCAGTTTCTCACATCGGCTGTTGAGCATAGAATTTTACTCATTTGATTTTTTCTTTTACATTTTTATTTTAATAGCTAAATCATTTCAGACACTGGATCAGAGTTCAAATTGGTCACTTTTGTGAGGCCGCCACGAATTCTATTTATGAAAAGCAACTAATTATTGATTCGACGAGATCGATATTCGTACCTATGACCTTGTAGCCATTGATAGGCCAGTTGCGCAACACCTACATCGTTCACTATACAGAGTCGAGTAGAACGTCGTTGCCGACACAATTTATCAAAATTAGTCTCGGACACCGACAGAATAGCGTCGATTTTACAGACCTCCTCCCACTGGCATGTTTGAGATGTAGGCTGTAAATTTGGCCTTGTACGGTTGCTCAGGGGCCAAAACTAGTGTGGGTATTAGATAGTTACATGACGATCTTATACGTAAACCAGGTCAATCCTGCTTGGTCCCTCCCACAGGTCAGCTCGATGAGGATAAACTGACCCTTTCAAGTTAAACCTGCCTTCGATGCTGACTAGCCCGCGAAATTCGAATTGACCAGAAGCGAAACCGTCTTTCTTCTCAAACAGACATTATAACAACCCGGAGCATCATTTTATATCAGAAAAATTTCTGCAGCAGCTTCCACCCGCCTCAACTCTGCCGTTAGTAGCATTGCTTTCAAATCGTCCTAGCTGATTGAACCCCTCGCGACAGAACGGCCGACCGTCAGCCGTTGCAGACAGGACGGGACGAAGATTCCGGACTTTTGAGGCGGGGGTAGTACTCCAATAACAGTGGGGCAACCCCCACTGACCAGCAATCGCAGGCGCATATTCAATTCTTGTCGCTTCAACCGAATAGTCGCGTTATCATGTCTTCGTCTACCGCTTCTTGTCCTGTTCTCCTTGCCTGCTTGTCGCCGCTCGCCTGCTGATTGGAATTCCATCGCGATCAACGAACGGAGCCGTTAGTGAACTAACAGCGAAGGATAGGTCGAGAGTTTAGCCAGGGGTGACAGAATCAGGGTTGCTCTGATGCTTCAAAGTTCCGAGGTTGTTGGCGGTATTGCCCTAGGGCATAGGGTCAGTGTGACGATTCGAGCCTCAAGATGTATGTGAAATGTGGGCGCGCTCTAGGTTTGCGGATGCACTAGCGCATCTGTAGGCGACGGCACAACCGGAGGCAAACTAAGAATATGGACTTGTTGAGGACTGAAGGGCGTTGATTGCTGACTCGCATTTAAATGAAAAGATGTGAAGCGATGCAAAAGATACAGAAAGAAAAACGGCAAACTGGAAGGAGAGAATGTGTGGAGAAAAATAGAAGGCTAGGCCTGTCATACAAGCAAAGCCCAACCCTGCATGGCGTGTCTGGGTAACATACGCACCACGTGATACAGGCAGATGTCGCTCTTCTGTAGTGGGAAAAGACAAATCGTCCCTAGAAAGGGTCTTGAGTTCAGGCGGGGGAGGAGGGCTTCGAGGGCAACTTCTTTGTTAGAGTATTGTATCCATAGTTCATGGAGCTGGCACAAATTTGGATGCTAAAAACACTGCGACCGTATTTTACGTCCAAGCTTCGCTTGAAACTTTTGGGCAACATATGTCGCTGCTGTTGATGACAACAACGACGATGTTGAAGCTGTCTATGGCGGCATCGCGTCATTTCGTTCACGACCACCATCGCGTGTGCGCACAATGAGTTCATGTGTATATATTTGTGCATCGACTTCGTTCGAGCGTCTACAAATGAATGTAAGCATCATACAGCTGGTCGTAATCCAACGGTAGAGCTTTAGTTGCCTCTGATACGCCACCCGGAGTGAGTCCAGCAACGAAAACCTCACTCAGCAAAGCAGGTTGCTTTGGCCTGCGGCGACCTGCGCAGACGTTGCCCCACGCTGACTTGCGGGGTACTTCACCTACCATAGATGCGAGAAGAAGAGAGAGAAAGAGAGCGTAGGAGAGAGAGGAATTCTGTCACGAGTGCGGTCGATGCCCACTGCCGAAGTTGTTGACGCGACCTGAAGATAAGAAATAGTCAGACGTCGGACGGATAAAGATATGAACGCTATCCTTATGCGGGTGGTTTGTAAGTAGAACCACTGCCTGATGGTCTCTCAAAGGTCATCTACCTCCACTTGAGAATCGAGTAGCATGTTTTCAAATGTGCATACGCTTGAGGTTATAGATTTCAAAGAATCTACCTATTAAAGCTGACTACGGGTTCTCCATTAACTGGCGACTGGTATACACAACAATTCTTTATAGAAGCTATTCGATTGAAACTTGTGAATGTCTAAAGCACTTCGAAATAAACACGCAAATCTGTCCTGAAAATGCTTGCAGGGGTGTAGCCCTCTTTGCATGTATCTCACCAATCCATACCTTCGACCGGAAAGGTCCGACACTACAAATCACGCCATTCTAGGTTAGGTATAGGTTCGATTCAATAAAGCATAGTAATGACTTGATGGCATAGGATTCATTTACTAAACGAAAATTTCAAAAGACAAACATTTTCATCTGTTAATTACCAAGGCCAAATCTACATTTATACGAATTATTTGTCCTCCAGGAATACATTTTGTCGAGCCGCGCACTAAAGAATGCCACACCTTAGCCCCTGAGTGCAAGTTGCCCACGATCAATAATCGATGATTCGGTTGATACCATTCACTCGATGCTTGTTTAAGTGTTCTGTCGAAATAGGTTTCAGCGCGAACAAACCTGCTTTCCCCCGCCATGCTTCCAACACGACAATCATGAACTAGACCAGCCAGATCGGACGAGTTTCACTATTATGTATTGATTAGCATAGGTAACCCCAGCCGTTTGGTTTCCGTCTAAAGCGGGTGGAAGTGGGTGTCAGTGCGACCTGGGAGCGCCTTCAGTGACCGCAAACGACCACATTCCGATGAGGTTAAAAGGTGCCTCTGGCAAGAAATTACACTTCAACCTTAAGTGGCCTGATCGAGGTGGTGATTGACTTTGTGAACGTCAAATATTTAAAACAGCACTTAAAAACGAAGAACAGCATTTGCAAAGCCACAAGGTAATGCCTCATAAACATGTGTATTATTTAAAGCCAAAAGGATTTGTGAAATATACCGAAAAATGTGTAAGCTTTACGCTTTTGTGGTCAAAAAACATTTTTTCTAGTTTGTCTTTTTTAGACTATCCGGAATAATAAGCTGTACCCTGTGAGAACGTAAGGGAAAAGAAATGCAATGAGAAATATATAAACTATAAAAGTTGTTTTCTCTACTAACATACACATGTAATCTACCGGGGAAGAGTTGCCCGTGTCCCATATACAGAATGGTTATTCTGTGGGGTACAAAAACCTCACTTGATAGCATCGTTTCCCGACCACATGATTCGGAGTGCACGCTTGCCTGATCACCATTTGCTAAAAGCTGAAATGTCAACGAAAAACACATGAATTGAGCGAACGAAACCTGACTGGTGCAGATCCGCCAATAGAATGACTTATCGTTCCTCTTTTCGTAAACGTATCGATTCGAAGAATTATTCTACCTGCTACTTACGTGCGGACAGTGCGTAAAGATCAGAGGATTGCCCCCAACTCGACGAACCTCTACAGGCTGCAGTATCCTGGTATGATTCTGGTGTGTCTACCTGATCAGTCACGACTTGTCGACCAAGTGGCCTGATGCCTCCAGTGACCTGTACGACGACTGGGGCAAAAAAGCGGGTTTGCGTTCCCCCGTCGGATAAAAACTTTCTAAACGAGCTTAGGCAATGTTTAATATAAAGAGAATATCCGGATTGTTGTTAAGTCATTTCTTTAGCTGACATTGCTCAACGTTAAGGTCACCCCATACAGCCCTGAAGCCTTCGTATTTAGATCCTTCCTGAACCACGTTTACACAACTCAGTTATAATTCAGTCAGAATTAGTAGGGATGAATCGTATTTGAGCAGGTTCTATTATGATCGTCACTTCACAGAGCATGGCTATAGTATGTAGTCGATTATGCTGCGTCGAGAAGGAGAGCTTATCATCAGGTCTTTGGCGAAGGTCAAAAAGTGCCGTGTCAACCTGTAACAATAATATACCACGTCAATCACCGTCGCCGTACGATTTGACACTTCTTCGGCCATGTTTTGCCACGATTTCGTGATGTCTACCTGCTAAGGTTAACGTTCACTTACCGGGGTTTAGACTGGGAACCGCTGTTAGCTATCTGGCCGGACAAATTTCAAGAGGCCTGCACTGCCGCCCCTGTCATCACACATCTCTACTGGTGGATCTTTCATTGGCAGATATATAATCAGTTTTGCATATCTCTCTAAAAGCTTCTGACTGATCTATTGAAAAGATTCGTCCGAATGATAATGGGTCCGCACTCGATCCTCCTACGGGACTGTTTAAGCTATGAATGTACAAATGAACTATATAACGGTATAGCTTGTTTTACTAAAGGCTAATAAATTATTAATTAATACTTGCTTTCCCGTATTGATCGGTTGTAACACACAGTTATAAATACAACCATACTTAACACATATGAAGATCGTGAAAAATGTTCTGCGGAGTGGGCCGTTCGCGCAGTGCTTGCAAATTAACTTTAATTAATTGTATAAGCTGCTTGCTTAAATTTAGGCTGGACAAGGAAAAAATACCAGGATAGGTTGGGGAAAGGTTAAGTGTAACCTCTACGGCTCCTCCTAAAGTACGCTAATCGCACATTCTATTTGTTCAGGGTAGAAATTCAAATTGCCTCAAGACTGTTGTACGTTCGAGTTATGATTGCTCTCGTTGGTGGCAATTCTCTGCGTGATCGAACCATAGAGACAGGTATAACTGCCGAAAAGCTCATCCTATTGCAACTGCTCCAGCGGTAAAAACAGAAAGCTTCTTAACTCCCCAGACGATGTTCAGAACGGTCAGGCAAACGACCGTTCGAAGTTGTTCCGTCGCGTGACGGTTCTCAGAATTGATGAGTTTTTTCGACTAGACTCACATCGACTAACCTTGGATGTACAGTCCGTTTTTACTGGGCTCATATTCTAGATCTTCTGTTTTCGGTTATTCAGACCTACACAGCACGATCCGGAAGGCAACGTTATAAAGACAAAATTGCAAATAAGATAATACCGTTCCCATGTGTACATCCTTCTCCCGTTAATAACGTTTTTCTATCAGCCGAATTGTACGTCATAAGAAACCAAGTGAATTATCTTTAGTAGACAGGCTTGTTTTTTTCTAGGAATGAGCTTTTATTAAATTTAACAAAAACAGAAAAACATGCGCAATACTAGTATTAAGAAAGACATCCAAGAGAACACCTCTCCAAGAGCAACACGTCATTAAATTTTTTGGTAATATCAAGTTGCCTTCCGTAATGCGCCTCTTCCATGCTCCATTTGACCTAGTCTTAATGATACGCTGCTTATCAAGCCTAGGGCTAATCAATCTGCAACAGAGCTGAACGACAATAGGGAATTTGAATTGACAATCATTTCAATATTTTATAAATAAAGTATAAGTAGATAAATTACTGCACATCGATTTTGTTCTCCGCATAATAATGTTATATAGTTTGGTTGTTTTTATTCGGAACAAGCTGCTTGACCTTCAATAAGCCTCGTCCGCGTTCAACTGATAGTTTAATACACGTCAAAAAGTTCATCTGTTTTTCACCGATAACAGATCAGCTCGATCTTGTACGGCCTTCACCAGTACAAACGTCACTCACACAAACATTCCTCGCGTTCCAGCGGAAGGGGGTGCGACGATTGCATTGATTATCGCTCGATCGCAGCGAGTGGCCACGTTATCGCGATATCGATGTGAAGGGTGATCCGTCTGTGGCTGAAAACCTTACCCTCGCCCCAACCCCCGACTCTGAACCTTAGTAGACCTGAAACGCACCTCAGATATCTTCAGGTCGCATCTTCGTTGTTAACCTGTGTGCCTGCCTGTTCTTGCGTATACTACTACCACCCACCGAAAAACGCCCACAATCAAAATAAGTTCGGAGTTGCTTTTGTTTGTTACGGGCACATACGAGCTCAGATCATCAATGTCGAGGCGCAAAACAAGTCCGTAGAGCAATCGCCTATAACCTGTGGGGAATGCAACCTTACACTTAGGGAATATACAGTAGGTAGGTATTCGATAGGTCGTATCAAGCAGCTTTAAAGTCAAGCCTTCCGTCCAACACTGTCCGAGTGATATTACGTTGGGCCTATATATACATGTAGGGGGATTAGGTTTTTCCCCCAGATACCCATAGATCCCAAGTGGAATTGAACCGGCGCCCGTTTCAAGTCCACGAGGTGGTACTATTGGGATGATCGATTAGGACTATGTTAAAAGTTGCTTGACATTAGCACAAATTACTATTCAATTGAAGCTCTATTTACATAAAGGCTGAAAGCTGGCATGATTAGCCATCACTCCAGTGGCCCATAATGCCGGTGATGCGATGCGGTAAGTTTCATTGCCGTTCGCTGTTTTTTCAACGTAAACAGTAATGACTGACAGTGACTAATGATTAATTTTACATACATCCATCCATCCATCCCTCCCTCCTCGTAGCATTGTTCCTAACATAGAGCTATGTGAAAAAGGACCTCAAGGTAAGGAAAATCAACCTATTTTGATAAAAAAAAAAAAAATAAAACAAACAAGTAAAAAAAAAACATCGATATTCCCTTGAAAAGGTAAAAATGGTGTGCGTACGCTACCTCATGAGCATATATATATACTTCATATGAAATATCGGATATCGAATGAAGCGTACAAATAAGCTTGTGACAGTATTTTTCGAAAAGAATAGTCTATTGGTAATGCACCTATGCGTCTCACAAAATGCTTTCCCCAATCGACTATATTATGAGTGATCGTCTGTCTCCTTATGAATAAACGTACTTTTTAATACAATCTCTTAAACTTATTAAATGTTGCTTGAATACTCGCAGCCACCTGATCAAATCCGATCTGAACAAAAGCGAAGTGGGCGTTTCTGCCCAGACGTCATTGACGCTCCATTGTTTCTGTTCCACTCGTTCTGATTCATGACAGCGCAATGACGCTAACCCAAAAACATACCGCGCAGAATGAATTCATGCGTCCAAAAAAACCCCACAAGTCCCCGACCGAAGCACACACCTGAGCCCTTTTAACCTCGTTAAATGCATTTGTGACTAATCAAGAAGTGACGCGCCGCGCCTTTTCTGTTTCGGTACCCTGCTTGCTTATCTGACAATTACTTTTGCGGTCAGACATCCTCCGATCAGACCTGCTGACCACTGGCCGCTTCAGCCAATTTTGGTGGCAGACGAACTTAAACCAGGATCTTGCTTTGTTTCTATTCGAATGTATGTATATAATATATATATATATCCAAGACCGCCACCTAACTGGTTTATGACAGGCTTGTCATGCGCCTATAAAATTGAAGTTACATATGTGAACAAAATTGCCACAACTAGACGGTGTACGGCCTCCGCCCAGGAGCAAATAGGCTAGCTGAAGACCAAAAGGCTAAATGGCGGAGATCTTTAGGCGAGGCTGAAACCCGTTTCCGCGAAACAGAGGTTGCGGATCCAGGATCCATCCACTCAGTGTACACCATACGTTTGACCTCTACGGGGAACGTATTACGTTGGACTTGCACCGCCGCTCGCTTCGTATCGCGCATTTACATTGCGGTCAAGACGCTTCCGAAAACGGGCGAACAGATTAAGAATGTCGAACAGTCGAAGTTCGCTTATTCTGGCCTTTTGTTTTCGTTGTACAAGTAACTGCTAAGTTTTGTTTTTAGGTACACTCGTTACCGCTCACTGAAAAGATAAGCGTACTCACCGATCCTATTTGGAGTCAGCGACTGAATCAGCAGCAGTTACCGCAGTAACAACGGCAGAGCTAGACGTAAGTTCGACGACGGTCACAGACCACTATTAAATTGTATTAATGAAAGCTAGCGAATGGATCTAGCGGAAGCGATTAGTGCGGTCGCGATTATTGGAATTGAGTCAACCTGCTGAGGTTAGGTTAGGTAGAGCCGGGTTGACTTAGGTTAATGTCTGCGCGCGGCTACTCGCCAGCCATAAGCCATTTAGTAAATGGATCCGGGTGAAGATAGAAAAAAAACTTGAAATAGGCCAGAACTAAAGGATGTTAACAAACGCTAGTTGTATGGCGACAAGTGATTGCTATGTGCTACCCGGAACGTCAATCGATACGCGGGTCGAATGGCGTTTTGCGGTGGAATGGAACTAATAGATCCCTGGAAGACCTAAAAAAAGGTTTCAAAGTACATGTGAGATAGGCGTCGATGGGCTGGCTACTTTGAAATGAGAAACTCTATCGCTTATGAGCTGGCCTTTCTAATAAAGGTCATGCCGACTTGACGACTTCGTTGATTATAGGAGAGCGTGCTGGCGAAGCTTGCAACGAGAAAAACTGTTTATTTATTCGTAAACCAGTAGAAGAATAGTAGTTACTCGTAAATGCTAATGTAACGTAACCTCAAAGCGAGGTTTTGAACAAGGCCCTTTTTGTTGATAACGACTGGTCTTATGGCAAATAATTCAGCATTGAGCTACATAGAATTTCATCTAAGTTAAATAGTTTTTTTTCTAAACGTGTTACACCTTCTGACTCGTGTGAGTCGTGTAGGAGGTCTGTTGCGCAGTACATAATTGTGCCTTTTACAGTCTGCCCTAGATATCAGATGGCTGTTTAACGCTACCCGTGATCCGTCTTGGGTTAATGTTTTCTCCTGTGATAAAATACTATTCTATGGTGTTTTGATCATTAAGCTGCCCCATAACGATAATAGTACATTGAGACGCTAGAAAAATTGCAACCTCTCAATTAAGTGTTTTAGGTAATCGCTTTTTATAAAATTAAGGTAACATCACTGCCTAAATAAGTGAGCGATAGGATAGGACAGGATCTCGTCCTTCGTCCTTCTGTCATCCTTTACTAATCGACATTCACTGATCGTAGGTTCCGGAAAGATCTGATGATTACATTATTTTGCGATGTTTATTTTCTTTTTTTGCTAGCTAGAGACCTATAACTTCAAATATTGTTTATGCCTGAAGAAAACATTATCTTCAACAGTGCAGATTTCCTCCAATCTCAAATATATTATTCGTAGTATTATAGCCTATTATCAATAGAAGTCTTATTCGTGTATCGTTCTTCGCTATAGACAAAGCGTTCTGTTAGTCTCACTGCGTTCACATAGACCGCTTTACGTCCTTTTTATATCCGGATCGTTTCAGAACACTCAGGATCAGGTGAGTGTTTACGAGTCCTGGTTGGCTTTCACTATTACACACTGTATGAACAACCTGTGGCAGGTAACGGGATGTTCGTTGTTGTTACGTGCCTTCCCTCTCCTTCCCAGTGACAGGTTCCTCATCATGAATTATGCCTAGGCCGCTACTTCACTCCCTTTGTACATTTCCATTCGTTCTATCATGTGCTCCTGTTCAAGTACAGATGCGCTTATCCATGTGTAACTTTGCCACAATACATTGGTGCTGATCTCGTTACTAGCATGGCCGTATACTCAGCACTTCAGCACGTCTGGACATCCTTCGACTCTGCTGTTCGGGACGGGCTTCACTCAGCTCATTGGTCCCTGTAAATGCCATTGGCGCCGCAACACGGCCGGTTGTCTTCACAATGGAGCGGCGCGGCGAAAAAACCAGCTACATAAAGTGCACACTGTTATGTTCCCGTTAGAAGGCTTCATCATCACTGGCCAGTCGGGACTTCGTTGTTTCTTATACGCGAAGTATATATGCATGGAAAGCATATGATAATAGTAGTATAGCCTGTGCAGCATAGACGGTATACTTACTCACAATCAGTGAATCTGTGTGTGTATCAGTTGAACAGACAGCAAAAGCATACATGACGCACAGACAAATTCAGAAGACTGCGACGCACCCCTACGAATGCTAAGGGCCACATCGCAGCCAGGTTGGCTGACTCTGGCGGGACTAGATCGCGTCGATACCATGCTAGCGTCACTTCCTAAACGGATTTAAAAACCGTTGGATTCGCCGTTCCAAACAGGGCTAATCCTACCCCCGTCCCCCGCCCCTTCTCCAGTACGCCGCTCCAAGCTCTCCGCTAGTCAAGCGACGGCTGCGGTCTATTCGTGCAGATCGGCAAACATTTCTATTGACGTGAGTCCATTGATGGTTAGCGTATAGCCGTCTGTAGGTAAAAATATTAGTGCCGTTGGATAGAACGACAGAGGAAATGTGTATGGCGTTGATGAGATAAGCCCGGCTGTGACAGGTATGGCCTAAACGTGCCAATTGGCCTAATGCCATTGGCTGCTAGGCCACTGTAGTACGATTTCGGTTTTACCTTGGACACGATTCGAGTCATCAGCAAGCTCATAGTGCATTCAAATTCTGTATATCACTTACATATGTGCAGTCTCGTTATTTCAGAGTATGGCCGATGCTTCAGTGTCTGTCCGTTAGGTGGCCTGCCGACTTTGGTCCAGTGAGGCGTTGGCGTATTCATGATTACTTTCTAGCTTCAAAGGGGAGCGCAGACAAATTACGTGTACGTATGAACGCAGCTGAGGTATATTTAAGTAAGACGTAAAAATCCTGAGCGTTGGTGGAACGCGCGGATTCGGTTGTCACACCTGTGTGGAAGAGTGACAGGATGGGATGAAGGATGGCAACGATCGAAAGTATACATGTGTGATTTAGGTACGGTGACGAAAGTTGCCTTTCTGGCTTTGTGAGCAGCTTTCGTGCAGTCATTTTGAGAAACCAGCCTGCTATTGTTGTGATTACTTCTTCAGTTGAACTGTGAGGTAGCGGAAAACACGTAACGATAGCCTGGCCCTATTTTTCATCGGGTGTACTTAATTTTACAACATTGAATAGGATCGAATAGAAAATAGGTTGAATTTAGCCGTAATAACATTAATACTGATGGATAGCACAGTTCCCGCAAACCATAAAGCAGAAGAAACCGAACAATGAGACAAACATGCGGGTAGCTCGGCGTAATAGCGCGCGCTCCTTCGAAATCTATTATTACCTTAGTAGATAACAGTGGGTACCAGCTAAATACAGTGTTTTCTCTTCTACACAGGGTCTAGGCTTTATATTAATTGGCATAGGCAAACCAAACACATATATAGGTGCACACCTTGTATACGTTTACTCCTTAGTAAAGTATCTTTCGATTCGTCAATAAACAAGACTGCCTCTGTCGGGCAATCAGCGATACCTGTGTTACATTTTTGCAACTACGAGAATAGTCGAATTAGAGTTCTCCATAACAGTATAAGGCTTAACGAAGTTGCTGCCATGGGGAGCTGGAAAATTTAGAACATATCATTCTTTAACATGCACCTTGCGTTAAAAGGTTTTTGTAGGACACTCGACCTTGTCGTGGCTGAGAGGTAATAGGCATCGTATTTGATTTCTACTATTTATAAGAGTGCTAGAAGTTTATCCAATTTTTATATCTAACAAGCCGATATCGAGTTGATTCCAGCTGTACTTATAACCGATCATCAATCAACTTGTGCGGTCGAGTACCAGATCTGATGCAAATTTCTTTCTAAATCTCCATTACTAAATTCTCACTGTAGGAACCGGCGTCGCCTGAGAAGGTCATGCACATGTCTGAGTGTTTTGTCACAGATGAAAAGAACATATATATATATATAAGTCACGCTGGTTCAAATCTCAGCATCGATAAACCTAGGAACTAACTAATTATCAAAAACTACCACAACAAAGGAGACAAATATCAGGTTAATAACTACTTGTTTTGTTAACATGCCGGATCATAGGCTGATATGAGAGAAAAAAAAAAATGGATAAATCCAGCAAGATCTACCCCGACTGCCAACTGCTAGTGGGGCAGACCTTTGACGTTTTACTAAAGAGGTAATTCCGAAGACTCGTTCGTACAGAGAAAACAGCCCAAGAAGAGCCTATATTTAAAAACGCGATTACTGTGCTACCTTCTTAATCGTTCGAAACACGATAAATCTTGATCAATATTTGGCGATCAGTACCCCGTTCGATTGCATCATAGCACAGTATCCTGCATCGTAAAACTGCAATATATAATCAGATATTCTATCAATGTTTAGGCAATAGACAATATTAGAAGGCTGTAGATCACCGGTTCCGTCGAGAGTTGTCCTCTGGCGCAGCATTTGTCCGATATCAAACGCGGCGGCAGGAATCATGTGTTTTTTCAGCATTTGCATGGTTGTTGAAAACCATAATTACATAAGGCGGAAACGTCAGTCGGCGATGTACAGCTTGTATGTTTTTTGGCGTTCTAGTCAACGACAAATCTGTCCGGACCCACTTGCCCTCTCAGTCGTAACCGTGAGCGATACAACAGGAGCCCCAAAGAACCTTTCAATCTATTCCTCAACTTTGCCTACCGGCATACAGGTTGTTGTTTTATTATTAATGTAACTCATCATAATCTAGAGACGTGGCACATTTGTAGCAAGCGTCCGCGGCACAGCTCGCCTTAATCATACGTAGGAGCCCTGGGCGAAAAAAATATTATTGTATGGGCAGTCATAGAGAGATAACTCACGGACAGTGGGCGGCGCCTCCTTTTGCGAAGGCCACCGAAGTGCTTACCGCAGACGACACCGCGCTATTATCAAAAGAAAAGCTTTGGACAGGGGGCTGTGGGTACTTGGTGAAGTGATAGGCAGGGACCGAAGATCGCTACAGCAAACGCGATACATAACTCTACGACAACCCCACTTGTCCTCCAGCTTCTGGATATGAATAACAGAAGCTAGCTGTTCATCAATGTATTCTACCCGATGTTCTTGAGTCCATATTTACTTGACATGTACAGCTAGGCCGAACTAGGGTGGATAACTAACTGCTGGTTACAGCCAAACGTAATCGCCGCCTTGAAGACAAGCTATAGGATGTCATCGGCGACGGCGTATCGATGTCGCAGGCTCGCAAGCACGACGGCCGCAATAATAACAACAACAATAACAATCGCTAGCCGCTACATAAACCCCATCTACATGTTGACATCAGCGTTGCCGTAGCTGCGTCCTGGCCGCTGCATCCTCCGATACCCGGACTTTTGGCGGCACTCTTGCCGCTTCGTCGGACCAACCCGGCAATCAGCGTGGACAAAACAGATGAGACGCGCAAACAGAATTCAATACTCCACGAATGCAGCATGACTCAAGCACTCAGCAGCCACTACTGCACAAAGTGGAGATCTAGTTGTGAGCAGATCCTGGTTGGGGCCTGCGTGACTCTGCGGTCGGGGAAATGGGGCTACATAAAAAAGAAGCTCTTCATAGAAAACTGCGTTATTCGATGATAGTGTTGGTGCTATGGACGCACTTCGCACTTCTCAATTGGTGTTCCTCAAGGATCTCTTCTCTGTTCCGGGCTGATTGGGGGCGAGCAGGCAAAGGCAAGGATAGAGTGGTTCAGAGGCAAAACACACAAAACAAGCTACAAGCTGAAGTGAAAAGCAGAAACAACGACAGCGGCAACAATAATAACAATTGCGTATCATCATTAGCTGGTTACGCATTCGATGAAACTATATAGGAAGACACCGCCTTGAAGGTCGTAGCGACGTTCCGTATAACAGCGGTGCGGCGAGATTTGTCTGGCATCGGTCTGCTTCGGTAGCTTTTTCATGGTGGCTCACCTGACGCCGTCATCGGTCGGTAGCTAATTCGAGTCAACGACAGTTACAGCTAAGAACCAGTCGGCGGAGCCGCCTTTCTCATCGTGGCTACTCTTGGGGGCAATGAAGTACTTATTTTCGTCCGACAAATCGATCGCCCCCTCGGCTCCTAGAGCTAGTGATTGCAGCAGAAGTGCGTATCGTCCATCGAGCGTGTTTGCCTAAATACACTGGAGATGTGAAGGAAAAAATTTGTGCCTATAAATGCCGGCCTGTGCATCGATGCGAGGAAGGTTTTTGACGTCAGCCCAAATTCAATATAAATTCAAACAGCGCCTCGCGAGACATCTCACGTTATATCAACCGGTCCTCTGAGTATATACACATGGAGATGAATACCTCGCCTCGCGTCGAACGGATAAGACCAAACCAAGAGCGAATTTACTTGTCGGACCTGCGCGATCTAGCCGCTTTGTTTGGTGCGACAACTTTTCGTGGAAGAACGACTTCATCGGTAGCGGTAGCAAGTGGATCATGTAAACGGTTTGGCGGTACCGAAAGATGCCCCACTGTGGTTCACCTAACAAAGTATATCAATCGCATGGCAACTGCGGCACTGGTAACATTCGCGTTGTGGCCCGTCTAAAGGGTCTAAGGTCTAAAAAAAAGGCCTCGATAAATGAAACAAGAAGGATCCTGCGCGATCTTCGTTTTTAGCGCCTAGCGTACCCTGGATGAAAGACGACGACGACGACGACTCAGCTTCCCAAAATAAGGTACAATGTGTTCTGTCTGCCTGCCTGTATCTAAAGAAACTACCTAATTTCACTCAATTTAAGCCTCGACACCGATTTAACTGTTGGCTGGCAAAAGATCATTTGGACGACGTTAACCGTTTGTCATCAATAACGTGAAGCCTTTCATCTAGGTGGAAGATGGCAAAGAGTCACTTGTTTGTGGGGGACATCGACCGCAACGATGTCGAGCAGATCAATGCAAAACAGCTGGCGTAGATAATAGCGATCAATTATAATTACGCAAGGGGTACAACATGCTTCTTTGTTTTATTGTATAGACGTGTATGTGTGTGTGGTAATAATAACATAAAGACAGAGATTGCTTCTATGTCCATATCGAATAGCGGAATTCAACGGTTTCCCTTTGTGATTTGTTGGTGCCAATGGTTTTCCTGTAGGCATATTCGAATAACAAATGAAAACCTATTCCGCCAAGTGGAGTGTCGTGAGAATCTCTATCCAGAGCTCATTCTCGCTCGATCTACATACACTGAACTAAACACACCTATTGTAGGTAAATTGAATTAAAAAAAAAACCGCATAGTCTAAAGAAAAGCCCATATATTGTCAGCATAATCAATGCTCAACTATGTAGCATAGGTAATCTTGACTCAGAATTGAGTATGTATAAAGATGCGAAACGTATGTTTTTGTGAAATAGCAGTTCTCGCCTACAGATTTCTTCTATGTTCGGTTAGTTTAGCCGCTTGCCAATTTTCATACCTACATTCCAATTGGAAATTACCGCTCGCTACCTCTTCCTGTACGTCTTCTATATGCTGCTCGACAACAATGTAGGGTTGCGACTATTTCGAAATTGATCGATCTCTCGAGAAGTCAACTAACCCTATAGTTAGTTGACTTCTCGAACGCCGTGTAGCTATTCGATAGATTGTAGTAGCGCTACATATTTTCCACTAGCTTTTTTTTTTCTAACGAAGCTATCATACTTCCGAGTGGCCTATAGATTTCACTTGCTGCTCCAGTTGCGCCTTCTCTTCCCACGTCTAGCGAAAATATAAACACGAACCACCGGATCCGGACGTGGAACAGCATACACACAGCGATCCGAAGTTCTCGTTTAGGTTCTGTGACACCAGTCGTAAGCCTGCAGCGTATAAGATACCATTGCCTTGCCATATTTTATAGGCATTCTCACTTGTTGTCTTCTTCTATGAACGTGCCTATAGCGTTTCTGTCATACGGACGCTCTATCTCCGCTAAGTTTTTACTACTAAGTGACAGCGACGCGGTCGGCGATGGGTGTGTTGTTGAAAGGGCAGCAGGCAGTATTCAAGTTATGTTACAGTTCCGTTTCCGGTCGCCATATGTTGTTTAGTGGCCGACGCTCCAGTCGAAGACGAAGAACAGAAAGAAATGTTAGGTAGCGGGAAATAGCGGAAGAATGTCTCCTGCTCCACGACGAGAGAGTACGCTTCCGCATGTTCCGAGGTCCGAGCGGAGAGCATGTCGGATATACCTGTATTTTGAGGGAAGCACGGTCTGCTGGACGATTGTACCTTGGAAAGAGATGTCCTGTAGGGATGTGCCCTATCAAGTGGTTTGTCTCGGCGGGAAATCAGGCAGCGATGAACTAGCTTTGAGATTAGATTTATGTGACGTGAAAGTGTGCGGGCCGCATAATTATGTTCGACGTAGAGATTCGTGAAAGCCGAAACGGCTTAATCGTACAAGATGCATCGTTGAGACTCGTCGAGATAGGTGATTCCAAGTTGAGAGATAGGTCTTAATCGATAATGCCATAGATACATATAGATAAGTACAGATATACTCGTATCAAGATATTGTCGCTTTGCGAAGTTCACGCTTCGCTCTTTTACTCATTCATTGTGGACGCCAGTCTAAATCACAGACAAATGATGTAGCAACATGATGAGTGGCAGACCCTGTTTGACTCATGTAATCCTCTTAGTATGGCCACATGCTGCGAGAATCGTGTGAAACAAGTTAGTTCAGATGTCTTCGTTATACGTGGAACAACGTCCTTAACCGAATCTGGTTAACTGTGTCTACCATATTTGTTGGTTACTTGGTCGAATTTATTGTCAGGTCGTACCAAGTTCATTGAAGGCCTAGCTCGTTCGACTGGCTTCTTCTAGCTTCGGGGGGTCCGAAGGTGGACTGGCGCTCCATTCGGTAGAGGAGGCATTGCGGAAACGTAGATCGCTTATAGCGGATGCTCGACACAATCAATCGTTAAAGCGATCAGTCTATCGATTAGCGTAATTCTACAGAGTTTTCCGGGTTATCTTCTATTGAACAGATTTGACACTGGTACTGTTAAGAGATAGCATCAATACTTAACAATAGACTTAGGGTGAGGTTCTACTTAACTACTTGTCGAGTGTCTTTGCTTTGTTAGAAGTAATCGCTAACAGGCAGATGTCCATTGAGCAAAGTTGCTCCGATAAGATATCTGAATACTTAGACATTTATTTTACAACTAATTCCAATTCAATTTTAAAATACTTCTTTCAGATACAACATTCCATGCCAGTATCCAGATACTACATAGCAACCTCAACACTGGGAGTATTAGACAACATTCATTAAAATATGCCTACAAGGCACGAGCTGACTGACGTGACATGGCACGCGTTTTCGCCAATTACGGGGGTCGTGCGTTGAACAGCCGGTCTTCGACCAGACGTTTCCTGCAGCTCACGTTAATTTCGCCAGTCGTCGCTTTTACGACAAGTGCAACAACCTCAAGATTACATTGACGCGTTACAGAACAAAGCTTACTTACTGTCACCTGCTCAGCAGCATCGCTTATGCCGCGATCAATTCCACCAACTAATAGTGATATCCATCGAGTCGACATTCATCACGGACCCCATTCAACCATCTCGCGACTACACTTCTACGAATAACAGTCTAAATCGATGAAAGCCTTCTTACAGGTGGCAAGTTTGTGTTGTGTCACCTCGGTATGGGGTTCGCAACGAATCTCATTAGAATCTCGGATTCAAATACCTTCTGCTTCCGCAGCTTGCTTCGTCAATGTACAAAGCAGAACAGATTGGCCGTATTTCCGTCATCGGACCCAGACAGCGTCTGCTGTGACCCGAACGACGGATGAGACCGCTCTTCCTTCCCCTGGCGAGACGTTGAAAAGACGCTTTCCGTGACGCACCATTCACCGCCATCGTATTTAACAATGGTACAAGCGATTTATTGCTTCGACGACGTACAACTCGCGTTATCACAACACGAAGGTTCGTGACATACGCATGGTTCTGAAGTTCGCGTGCCACTAATGTATCCTAACGTACAGCAGAACGAAGTGTGGTTTAAGTGCTATTGGGATCAAAAGTGGCATAATCGTAGAGAGACGTGTGCCAAACGTTTGGCAATGCCGTGGGCACATCAGATGTACATGTGTACTGCATACTGGGAACGATATAGGAAGATCGATTAAATCAAATCTGCGAGTGCCAACCGTCAGCAACCTGTCGAGCGGAAGAGGAAGGCCCTCTAAGCCATGTTAGACTCATATGAAGAGGTGGCGGGTGTACTACAACGGTAAAGCCAAGAGGATAATTGCACTGGGTAATGTCGTTTATATTAAAAGTAAAAATCGTGGTTCATATACGAGGACGAAGGAAGTAACCGTAGTAATGGAAATCAGTAAAGCTTTATCAGTATTTACTGATATCCATTTAGATGAATATCTTCGTGTAGGTACACACACTAATGTTAGTCATATGTGATAGATAACTTACTAATTTTTTCGTAAAAGCTATCGATTGCTGCTTTTGCAGTATACACAGTTAAGACAGATCAAGCTGTTTAACAAGCTAAAGATGATTAGAGGCTTGGTTTTTAGAAGGATATGTACAAATGCTCTGATATGATTCTTACGTTCGTTCTCGGTATGTTATGGACGTGGTCAGGCAAGCACTGTTGCAGCATGTTAAATTCCGTTCGTCATAAGGCCTAGTTATCAAGAAACAGGTTCTTTTGGCCCTTGACATAAAGTTACTTTATATAACAATCCAAGTTTTTACATGTCTTGAACGGACTATGGCTAACAGGGGCCTAAGAAGTTTTTGCAGGCAGATGGAAGGTGAGTTATTGCTTAAAACTAGATATTTGCGTTATAGCACCCATTGACGGAAATACAAAAAAGCCTTAATATTCATAGCCCACATTATTCAAATATGTTGCCCAAAAATAGACCCAATCCTGGAACTTTAGTCACATGTGGATGGCAACGGAGTAATATGCTAGGTGTGCTAGGCTCTCAGATCTGGATAACATCACAAATTCTTATAAAAGCAATTACATACGTTTTATTTTACGTGGCTCGTATCAGCGTACAGGCTGTAGTTATGAAAATGTATACGGATATTATAAAATATAATCAATTATTGTTCCGAGTCTCACGCTCAGAGCATTGGTTCAGATCATTAATCTGATTAGGATATTTGGGTTTAATTAGTATCTAAGGCACACAGCTTTTAAATTTACAAGTATAATTCTCGTTGTGTTCATGGTATCATCCTCGATCAACTTTGAACCTGTAAAGAGCTGCGATATTCGACTGTAACGCTCGAAGGTTGAAAGGAGGCCCCCTGAAGGCGGTCAAGTACAACAGTTCATTATTTGAAAGCAGTCAATTTTACCTTTAGTTAGCTTTTTTTTTTTTTTTTTTTTTTTTTTTTCGTATTCTCCAACCAGTTCGCATTACGATGTAAATTTTACTTACATTCATAATAAACAGTAATAAGTTATTATGCTATTATTTAGCTATTCAAATAAATACCGATCTTGTGATCTTCTCGTGAGCCTTATCTAGCAGCGTATTTGAAGATCCTGGCGGTATTTAGTAGCTAATGTCCCGTAACGTAACGAGAGCGATAACTGAATGGCGTGACGCATCGAATTGCCTTTTTGGCGAGCCTCGTCGATTGTTCTTTTCAACTATCATATACCTCTTCCATCAAGAGTATCCAAACACCCCTCGCCGCGCTGTAGGGAAATGACTATTGGTAAAGTCGGCCAATACTGGCTGATGACGGCAACAACTGGTAGCCTGATGATTTGCAATTACCTGGTCTCCGATGTTCGATTGTGGGGGCAATCTGCTACAGCCCTGTGCGGGCACAGCAAAAAAACCACCTGTAGCTCAAACAGTAGGCAATTTTCGGCTACTGATCTAGCTTGGCTCCTTCATCTCGGTGATGTCTCTTCATATCCTCGTTTCTAATACTCCTCAGTATTTACTACATAGCCAAGTGTGCAATAGAAAAGCCCCTAGCGACTTCTGTCTATAGTACGCATCCTAATGTTTGCTTCGCTGAACATTGAGTAAATCTTCACCCCCTGCTAATGGCAGCTTCCCGTATCGCTATCGAGCTCCCGGCGTCGGTAACATAGTTGTACGAGTTTTCGGACACACTTCGGGCTCGTAGAAACGATTAAGGTGCGCGGTACCTGCCAGCAGACGAATTCGTCGGAGTATTCGAGAGGACTCCACTCAAATTGACGCTGTGGCTGCATCAACTATAATCAACCTCTATATCCGATGAAAGAAGTGCCCGTACACGTATACAGAAGCGACTGCCGTCACTTGTAACAGCTATAATATATATATATATATATATATATATTCAATCCTCTCAAAAAGCTAAATTAAAAATAATTTCGTTTTTTTTTATTAGAAAACAAACATCTCTTTTTACGTCTAGATGCCGACAGTCGAAAGCCTACGAGAGATCAGACAACTAACCCCTGTATGCCATTGATGTGTAGCAGCTTATGTGATAGTATATATACGCCTGTTGAGCTCGTATAACCTGCACTGGTCATTTTCGGCCTGCTATAAACACAGCCTGCTTAGCCAGAAGGCCTACGCTGTCATCTGCGAGTTAATTTTCTACCTCGTAGTAAGCCGACTACGGAGCGGTTTGCGGGGCAGGTACATTTCGGTTCAATAGCGCAAGGTGTTTCGAGCGTCACGCCTGCTCTTAATTCCGCCCTCTTGCCCCCTGTTGCTCGACTTGTTTTTCTACTGTAGTCGTAGTAAAAGGGCCTTTGTAGACAGTGGTCGTATGTCTGACGTACGGCCGTGCGTCTGCCTGACTGGCTCACTTTGCTGTGCACTAGGTTGATACCTCGCTACTTATTTGCGTGGCGAATGAAGCACAGACGTGAATCCTTATTTACCGCCGTTCGTTCGTTCGCTAGCTAGCAGTCGCGAAATATGCTGGCATGTCATCGGACAAGGTGCCAGCCATACTGTCGAAGGCAGCTGGTGTTGGAGCACCTGCCGGTCCGGCGCACTGGAGCCGTTCCTCCGAGCGAGCCACGCGTACTACGTGCCCCTAACAGCTCGGCCACATTTACCCTAGGCTTGCTATCGCGATTTGTTAGTAGTAGGTAATGACCAGTGTGTGTGCCGGTGACATTATTGCGCTCATCGTATACCGATGGTGCCCAAACCAGCCAGCGAATCTAGAAACTCTCTCGTGCGATGCAAACGGCCGTCAGCAAAAACGTACGTAATTGAAGGGGCGACAATCTGGACATAACACTGAGCTGTTTACGAAAAAGTCGTGATGAGCAAGCGCCGGATGGTGTCGCGAGCCTTGTCTAAGCTACCCCTAGACCATGCCGGAGAGATAATGTAGAATGTATATTGAGGGGATGGCGAAACTTTAACGCCCTGTCGAACGGCGAAAAATCGTTGGTATAAACATAAGTTTAAGTTAATATAGGCTAGGTTAACTGAAAAGACGATTCTATTAGACGCTCGATAGGCGAGGGTTGGATCGAAGCACTTGTTTCACAGATACGTTTCTGACTTTTTATCTAACATATTGAACTATCGTAATTTCTTCCTGACAGACTTTTTTGCATAGCACGTAAACACGCAACACAAACACGTAAAGCATTCTTGTTAACTAAAAAAAAAAAACTAGGTATATTGCATGCAATCATCTCTGCCTATTTGGCCTACGTGCGGAAACCAGTGCAACCATGAGACGCATACGTAAGGTAAGACGCTTTACATGTCTGTCCTACGTAGCATACCGTAGGATAAGTCATATGCCTAAATAGTTTAGGAATATGTTACGTATATCATTATAATATCAATGACGCTGCACGTATTTTATTACAAATCGGCATAGAGCGTATCGAGGCCAAATACGCCCGTAAATGAAATCTCCGTTTAAAACCCATCCTAGCAGACATTCACTAGATCTCTAGTGGTAAAACGAGCCGAAAGTTCCAGCTGTTAAGGTAGATGCCGCAGTCGTTCCAAACAGACGATATACCAACTACTATCTCGAGTATCCAGCAAGTTACATACTTTGTCTGTCCCTCTTATTATTGGCGCTATATACATACGAGAAAGGATTTTCGGAGTGTACCGTTTGTGGGTCGAGACGGAACAATGAACCGACAAAGCCACGCTATGCTTTTGTTAGCGTTCTTTGCTTAATCGAATCTATTTATTTTTACGAAAATAACAAAGTTAGTTGAAAAACAGATGCGAAGAACAAAGTTTTTCACTCGTAGCACGGGAGCCGCGCCTTCGTTGAAGTCCACGGTGTACAGGCACTCTCAAGACAATCAGCTGATATTGACTCCTGAGAGTTACATCGGTCGACGTACGCCTTAGTCAGCGTTTACATCGTAACTTCAAATAAAATTCGATGGTATGACGATGACCGTAAATCGTGAATGCTTATGAATAGAGGCGCACATAAATTCATGTATATAGGCTTGTTCATCTACAGTCAACTTCAACCCTGCGATCCTCAATTAAGTAAACGATTATTGTCTCAAGGCTACCATGATCTGTGTAGTTCTGTACAAATGAATCGACTTAATTGAGTGACGACGGCGACGATGATGATGATGCGAGGTTGTCGCCAGATCAGTGCCGTCAGACGCATGAAGTTAAGCTCACAAGTTAGCACTAAGTGGCGTCCGTAAGGTGTGCATTTTAAGTTATATATGTTACACAGTATATGCGTATATAGCTATGTTAGGTTAAACGTATCGACTCATCGAATAAGGCCACCTAGAATTCTTCCAAATGATCAAAATTGATAAACTCTTCTCATGTAGAAGCTGCCATTTTACGCTTTCTAATAATAGCAGCATATCTAAACAGACATCAAAAAAAGACAGACACTCACTCAGTGACTGTTTACCGCAACGCGTATAAGCATTCTGACCATCACGTAGAGTTCATGAAAGGACATACAACTACGTGGTTATGGTGATAAATCACTCTCAAGCAAATTTTCGTTACTTCGGCGCTTTAGTCGCTATATATATATATATATATATATGAAGCTGTAAAAAAAAAGAGTCGAAAAAACTTTTCTTGTAATAATCAGGCTCATACAAAAAAATTGATTGCGGATAGAATTCGTTGGGTGGGTCAAAATGTCGTAGCAGTTGACAATCGAAGCCGAGAGGTAAAGAACAGGTGTCTCTGTCATCACAAAAATATCACAAAGATAGCGTACAATGTAACCAGGAGACGTTGTCACTTTAATGGATCTATAGAAAAAAAAAAGACGATTTTTAACAGTTGTTCAATTGCG